CACACTTGCAAGCTTTGCAATCATACGCTACATGCTAACCTGTTGAATTTCTCATTGATAATGCGTGCCATCACAGGCGATCATTTATAGAATGGCCAGTTTGGCGGCCACGATTTAAAAACCACACAGGATGGTATTTGAAATCTTCAGCCTTGGTTGTGTATAAGCTACCGCCGACCTGCAGCTAGACATACACTCGACAAACTGGCCCTCGTATAAATAATCGCCTGCGATAGCACACCTTCTCAGTCAGAAGCAGGACAGGCTCGCACCTGCCGTATCATTGCGAGGTTTGTACGTGAACGTTTGCTGGATAACAAATTATTATGCCAGAAAGGTTAAAATAGGGTGACTCTGCAATAACATGGGGTTATTCATATAAAAACAATCGGGACCAACACACCTACGTTTCTCCATTGTCTGTTTAGAAGAGTAACTTCAGTTTTCTTGCTGATAGGACGCGGTTAGGTTTCGTCCCATTCCAGGTGAGCTCATTTGCTTCCGCTGTTGTGCGCATGCCTGAGCTTTTACGAATCGAGGCATCAGGAAAATGAAATATGTTCACTACAGTGTTCACATGTTGGTATTTACCCCATCGCCCCACCACGATGGTCTAGTGGCTATCTACTCGGCTGCTGACCCGCCGGTCGCGGGATCGAATCCCGGCTGCGGCAGCTGCATTTCCGATGGAGGCGGAAATGTTAGAGTCCCGTGTACTCAGATTTGGGTGCACGTTAAAGAACACCAGGTAGTAGAAATTTCCGGAGCCCTCCACTACGGCGTCTCTCATAATCATATGGTAGTTTTGGGACGTTAAACCCCACATATTTATCCTATTTACCCCCTTATCTGTGTGTGGATTCGCACCTATAAACCATCTCTGGTTCCGCAAGACATAATCATTCACGCACGCTCGCTTGGGTTCACTTTGTTCACCCTTAAGCTTAGCGCATGGAGACACTGTCTGCCGAGAAGAATTCCCGCACAAGGGTGGTGGTAGTGGTTAGAAGAGGAAAAAGGCGCCTAATTTCTGCAACCTGGTCGGGAGCACGGTGCAGTGCCTAACCCCCGCTCCATGTAAGCGCCGTTATTGTGTCTGGTTTCTTGTGTGTAAGGAACAAAGAATATACTCGTTCTGCGGAGGAAGGAGTGCGCATAAGTTTGAAGCGGATGAAACAGCGGCTCGGCCATCGTATTTCGGGTATTTGACACGTTTGTAGAAACGCCTTGCCTGATCTTTCATTCAGGAAATGACGCAAAGGGGGCACAGCGTGCGACCATGCCGGGGTGAGAGTGGTAAGGGTGTGCGAGCACCGCGAGGAATTAGCCCAGCGGCCTTGCCCGAGTTCACTGGTGCGAGCAAGGCTCTTTCTTCGCACGTTGTTACCGCGCAAGTTTCAAAGCGGTGGATTATGCCAGTGACTCGTTCCAAAAAAGGAAATATCGTGACTTATCGTCATTTCCTGAACCACATCGTCGTCTAACTCCTTAGTAGCAGAACTCGTTAACGCTGAGATGCCCTGTATAGAAGCTGGGGCCAAGTCACAGCTTCCCGTCTGCATCCTTCCCCCCCCCCCGTTTGCATCCTTCCCCCCCGCCTAAATTTTTTCTATCTATCTATCTATCTATCTATCTATCTATCTATCTATCTATCTATCTATCTATCTATCTATCTATCTATCTATCTATCTATCTATCTATGCATTTATCTATCCGCCTACGACTTTAAGCTCTCCTGGTCGTTTAGATAATTTGATCTATACTAAAATTGGAATGGCATGACATGATTGTAAGACGAGCATAAATGACTAATCATCACACAAAATCATGGCATGTATGCAATGAATGCCGTGAATTACATGTCATGGTCTTCCTGCTCCTGCGGTGGTTTCGTTCACATGACATATCGCAAAACTTCACATATACCAAATTTGGTATTACGGGATGAGAATGAATGACAAATATGTATAACCGGTCCAAACATGATATTGATGACATGTGTGTTTTGTAAGAACATGACAACATACCGGGCTCATGAAGCGCTTGTTGCTGTTTCACTAGCCTCATGTACATGTACCTAATTTCTATACGTGAAATGAAGGGATAACGAAAGTAAACGACAAATCTAAACATGATAACCATGACATGCGCACGTGTCACGTAAAACATGACTACATGCTATTTATTTCATATAATTACTTTGTAATAAAGAATGAAGCACGAAATGTAGCAAAAGCGCTAAGGTAAACAGTGTATCATAACACCAATATTTGGTATTGCTTGCTGCGATATTTTCTACAACCTTAAACAAAAGGTTCGGCATACTATCGTGACGGAAAGGATTTATACATTAAACCCATATGCATAATACTGCTAACGTCCAAGTTTTCTTCAAAAGAATCACAAAAGAGCTTCTTTGCCCACAAGCACACTTGATGTGCTTTTGGGCAAACGAGCGCTTTACTGCTTGTTTCTAAATTATTCAGATAAAGTATAGGCGCAGGCAATTCTTCATTTTACTCAACATGCAATCAAGTTCACGCAGCATCGCAATACCCCATTTTAATTTGAATAAGGAGGAGCTTTACGCCACGCGATCAAACTTTTTGGACGGGATAACTTATGAACTTTGTGAAAAGATCAAGGCGCGCAAATTATAAATGCACCCAGGCAAATGCTGCCGCATTGACTCCGTTTTACGCATGTCCTCATAGAATTTCTACGAGCCGTCGCAATGCGAATCCCAATTAGTCTTCCCACGGCAAGTGACTTGTTATCTTTTTTCCCTCTCTCTCTCCAAAGTTTCCTTGCTACTCTATTCTTGCTCTTCTATGTACCAACCAACCATGCCAGTTAATGGTGTTTTGAAACGCGGGGCCTGCGAGAGAAGCGTGTGACGCGTATCTACACTCGACATCAAAAGAAGAACCGTCGTTCAGGACCTCGCAAAATTCTCCAATCTCCGTCCGACGATAGTCGCCACTTAGCGTGCGATTGCAGCAGAGCGGCAATTGCGACGTCCGTTGGCAGCATAAGCCGGACAATTAGGCCTATACTAGCAGCGACGGGTCTTTTTAAGCCTTCCACTTCGCTCCGTTTCTTGTATTTATCTCTCTCACTCTGTTTTGGCTTTCTTTTGCTCTTTCCTGCTTTTTTTTCACTCTCCACCCAAGGACTTGTTGAGGCGCGGGTGTTTTCCGAGCAAGCCGGTGCCACCATGTGAATCATTCTGATTTTGTTCGGCGGCAAGCATTTCACAACAACTCTTACGGCTGGCCTTGGGAACTGCTTCATTTCAGGCTTCCTCAATCGTTTCTTCACTCGTTCACTTGACTTGACGTTATTGCCGGACTATTTCCGAGGGCTCCTGTAAGCGGTTCATGGACCGGAAAACAGAAATTATAGAGGAAGTAGTACTTTCCAGCAATTTCGATAAATATTTCAGGCCTTGTCACTTTCTCTCGCCATTTACCGAATAGAAGCGCTACAAGGAAGCGTAAATTCTATCAGTTTCTGCGTATAAACGAATAATTACAATAGTGTTTTTTTTTAAAAGCGTCCATAAAGACGCCACTATATATTTTGTAATCTTTCAAGTAGCCTGTGTACTGTCATCGAAGATAAAAGTACTGGGAGAAAAAAGGGGGGCTACGTTTTAAAATATCCTTTGTTCACACTACACTCAATATTGAACAGTCAGCGCCCTTTCACAGCTTTAAAAAAAGGGGATTAGAATTGCAATTTGTGATCAGTTAGCGTCTAAACAAAAGCCATCTCATGCTGAATACTACCTATGTTTTTTTTTAAGGTGAGGCGGTGCAAGTTTAGGTAAATATAGCTATTGCTTTCACTGCTACATCAGCCTCAAAATTTTTATGCAGTCTATAGGTAAAGGAAACCACCTGTACTCGACGCTAAGGCTCATGCGTTGGTTGTTTTTCTTTAAATTGAAGTACATATTGTATTGACGTGGGATCGGGGAGCACACGTGCACGCGGCATTATGATGAAGAACGTTTCACGTGTATTTTTTTTCTCAGGAACACGATAGCTTCTAGTAATTTGCAAAGATGATAGTCCTGAAAATTGCTCGAACGACCTAGTTTGCACCATTTTTCAACCTACGGTATAGCAAAGATTGATACCAGTGCGCGGTGGTTGTTGCGTGCCTCTCACTGTGTTTTGTATATAAAGGCAATCATATCTGTGCATATATGAGGCTTACGTCGTGTTATGACGTGAGGCAAACATAATAATTTTAAAAACTGTCATTTTTTGTTTCTATATTTTTTGTTAACTGATCCACTTACTCTTTGTGCCCTAAATTGTGACAGCCACTTGATGACGTGTCCACGTAACAAAGTCATATACTTAGCTCCCGTTTGCACGTTTCTGGCTATAGGCTTCAAAGTACAGTTAGGCACAGAATGCTGAGGTGTCTTTCTGTGTATCAATATTTCGTTCAAGATCATACCCTGGAGATCTAAACAAAGCATATGTAACAAGGCTCATCAAAACTTCTGACACTCCCATATTTTTTTAAAGATCTCATTTTATTCTTGGTCGTTAAGGTTATTATTTAATGTTATTAACGAGTTCACTAATTAGCAGGACTGCGTCTTCCAAAATCCCGAGAAAATATACCTCTTGCAAACCAATAGGGTAGTTTTGTTTGCAGGCTTGCAGACACCCCCATCCCCTGTTCAAAATTTAGATGGAGGTGGTGTCTTACCAAAAATAAATATTGAAAGAGGTGCTTTTTAGAATAGCAAACACCTTCAGCAAGTGCCGCCCCTTCTTCCCGAAAAAAAGTTTTGGCTACAGCCCTATTTGTGTGGGCTTCGCTACACGAGTTTTCCGCGCTGTGTTTGTGTTAACCTGTCGACGTATTTTTTTCCATCTGAATTCTTCGAGAAGTTGGGATGCAGAACTGTCGTGTTCTGTGCTCTTTTGAACAACTGCAGCCGCCTAATTGACTGTTCCTCCTTGTGATGTACGCAGTTGCTGGTCGCAGCCGCGCTGGTCGGACTTTCCGCTGCGCAAATTGTCGAGCGCCGCGTGATCAAGAACCCTGACGGTTCGACCACACACATGGAGAGCAGCTCGTGGGGCCACAGTTCTTTCAACCAGGAGACTTCGGATAATGATGGCCTTATCAGTGGTCGTAGCGGCTACGCAGACAGCTCGGGAGTAAACTACGACCGCCACTACACCGTAGACCGCAATGGACAGCGCCGCTACATCGACCCCAAGGATAGCAAGCTGAAAGGGCCAGCCCCCTCCATCCCCATGCCATCAGGTGTCTTCGGAGGTAACGACGATTTCCTGTCCGGACGATCAGGCTTCGGCAACTTGCCTGGATTTGGGAACCTTCCCGGATTTGGAGGCAACGTGCCCGGATTCGGCGGCAACTTCCCCGGATTCGGCGGCAACCGTAGGAACAATTAAGCACTCGCTCTTGCCCCCTGAGTCCTACACTCTTCCACTGTACCTCACCATCGACTCTGTCTTCAACGCACTCTGGGTGCCCTGTGTCTCCCCCTCCTCTTCACATGCCTTGAAGCCTGCACTGTGGAACGAGGACTTGTTCCGAACTCTTCTCCGTGAACGTTTTTCTTCGACATCAGAACCATTGCCCACTCTGTATCTCAAAACCAGCCTTCTGTTAGTTCTTTCTCAAACTCTCTTTATTCTCTTCATCTTCCAAACGCATTTCATAAAGCACCAAAGAATTCGAAAAAAAGGAAGTGGGAACTTTACCTAAAGACGTGCTAGCAACGCATTCCCGACCCAATGAGCACCGTTTTGTTGCATATTTTGAAAAATGGCTTTCATATGACGTAACAATTACCTTGCCAAAAACAATGAACTCTTTCCTCTAAATGTTTTTCTGCTCAGCTACTTTTGAGGCTTTATACAGGGTATCTATTTAATCATGTGATTTTCGCGCTCATTACGTTTAAGTCAGATGCGAATTCAGTAGCTGCGTATTCGGAGTGGTTTCTGTCTTTGCTATTAAAAGCTTGAATCTCCAATCATGCTATGCAATTGTCTCTTTCAGCAACACTGGAAATGTGGCGCTTCTTTCCGCCTGGATTCAGATTTTAGTTCAAATGGATTGAATAAAAGAGTTCTCCTTCAAACTTCAAAAGCGACCAGGTCTCTTGATTTTTTTAAATAGAAGAAGGGGCAAGGGGGGGAGGGTACGAGTGTTGCATTGTGACTCTGAAGCCAACCGAAGCACATATTTTATATTAGAAGTGCGGTGATTCGCCCAGGTGACTGAATCATGAAATGTGTTGTGAATCCCACAGTATCAGTTAATCCGCGGGCTAGTTAAAGCTGCATGGTTGAGCAATATTCACCGAATCAACAAAAGCCTAATTGTAACACTTGCGATAGCGAACTACCAACTGACGTTTATTGTGAAACGAAGCAAAGTGTATGCAGGCAATATTATCAGGGAACAATGACAAAAATGCTCCCACCTCCTCGAAGAGAATCCTTAGGAAGTACGAATGCATTTTTTGTGCCAAGAGGGGGCCACGCTGCCATCAGACATTCACCTTCACTGACTTCTGCCATCGCCTTGAGAGGGGCCCAGCCAGAGATTGGCGAGTGGACGGGAAAGTGGGGCGCCAGCGTTCTCAGCTCTGCAGTGGCGTTTCACAGCGGTGTATCCGAGCACACATTTCCCGATGTTGTTGAGAGATGCCCAGCCAGTGAACAGTCGAGAGTGAGGAGCCAGTGTACGGCAGAGTGAAGCGCAGGTAAAAGAAAGAGCGAAGAGTGAGAGAAGGAGCAGTGAATCACTGCACTTACCCCCTCCTGCTCTGCTTGCTAGGGCCGAGGATAAGCACGTGCGCCCGCAGCTGTTGCTATAGTGTGAGAGTAAACACATTACACTTGCTGGCGCGTGGCCGCCGCCGCCGGATGCCTGACATAGCCCAACTAAAATACGTATTTGCATTTAAAACAGAAAAACTAGGCATGTAGTGACAAAAGCGTGAGCAAAATAATAGAGCACGTATTAGAACCTGGGACGTGCCAAAGCAGGAGTGGTCTCCACATGCTCAAACCAACACCTTCCAAAAAAGCGAACTCTTTCTCAGGCAGTGAAATGGACGGCTTTCTCACGCATGAGCATCTCTCCCGCTTATGAGCCGCTACAATCATGCAAGTGTGGTCACCTTTGTGCAGGTACAAAACAGGTACAAAAGCAGGTACAAAAACCAGGTACAAAACTCTAATGTAAAATTCCGTAGGGCAGTTACGTAGTCAAAAATTTGTTCGAGGGGGGGATAACTTGCACTTTATGTATATTCGAAATTGCATTCGTATGAGTGTGTATATAAATACTCATGTAACATTGAAAAACTTCTGAGAATGGGGGGAATGGTTGGACCCCCCCCCCCCCCTCTGGCTACGCTACTGCCGGAAGACATTGGTTGAAGTGTAGTGGCCGAAAACAAATTTTTATTTTTCTTTCCAATGTTATTTGCATGTTCACGAAGCCCGTCGTTTAGGCACCTGCTGTCTGACCAACGCAGCAGGCCCTACACGGTAAAGGACCTCTGCAAATAACCTTGTTCAAACAATACACGAACCTTGAGTTCGAATATTTCTTGCCTCGTTTTACAGTAAACTTTAGTTGAGCGTTATCGCTTGTTGGTGGTCCCTTCTTTCTATTGTCTTGTGTGCGCGTTATCACGCTGCAGATATTACTTGTTTGCTAGTATGACTATAGCATTCATCGAAAGGTTAGAGAAGTTTGCTGTATGAATCTCGCACGTAACCTCTTTCACATACCGGGTCACCCAAATTTTATGCTAGCTGGGGCCATTGGGTATACACTTGACTCTTTCTTGTTTGTTTGTCTGAAAAGTAAAGTTGTCCATTGCTACCTCTTGGGCAATCATAAAACTTTGATTATAGGTTGGCTCCGCATAGATAACCTCAATAGTACCTGTGCGTTAAAGATCTTGCTTGAACTGCTTGGTGCAGTCTTGGAACACCTATCGAAGAGCTGCTGAAAAAAAACAGGTGAAGGAAAGCAAGAACACTCGACGGGAGCAAACTCAACTTGAGAAAGATAAAGCAGCCACTAAAAAATATACCTCGTACCGACACGTGCCTACAAACAAATATAAGGTATCAAAATACTTGCAAAAATTGGCAGGAACACTGCAAATTATCAATTACCTTTTTTGTTGGCTTAATTATACCAGCTCAATGACAGAAAACAATATTGCAGCAACAATGGTGCACGTTGGTGCTCAGTTTCAAGGGCTGTGCGAAGATGGAAAATGTATGATGCCGTTGCATCATTCGGCATTGTGCTTGGTAGCATAACTGCGAATCCAAGTTCAAATGTACGGCCGTAGGCCATATTAATTCACCGATTCCGCTCTATTTTGTCGGTACATGTACTATATTATCACGTAGTCATGATGTTGATGAAGGGAGCAGTGGGTATCTTCAAGTTGAAACTGTTTATCTTGGCCAAACTTGTGCCAGTTAACGGGAAAGTCAGCTGAGAGCAATGCACACTGTCACTCATACATAGCAGCGAACAGAGCGTCAGCCGTTGATCAACTTATCATCATTGGGGCTCGCCGTCTTCTATACATCACGCATCGAACTTTGCAGCCTTACCACTGGTTGTCGTGCAAGCTCTGGAACAATATTGAGTGTTCGCGTTTTGTGCTCAATCTTAACACAATGGTCCTCTACAAACGTGAAGCTTTTCGAACACTGAGGTGCGATGTGCACGTAGTATTGCTCGCAGTCTTTGTGGGTTTACATCGAACACATGAAAATAACACGCGGAGAAACATGGGCAAGGGCCCTTTCTTGACCAATACCCAGAATCAGCGCGCCAAATGTGTGAGAGAAAGATATTGCCTGAATAATGAGATACAATATTTGCCGGGAGGATGAACAAATGTCTACTGTGATACGCCATAAAGAGTGGCACCTACCTATTGTTCATTTGTTTCTAAAGTAACGATATCAGAAATTTCACACGAGATGCATGTTGCGATCGTCGATGGTCGTTTAGCCGTACTCCTCGTAAGCATAGCGACGCCGTCGACAAGCGGACACGGTGGCACTGGCGGGGCGCCTGGCTGCTTCGCCAGCTTTCCTGAGTAAGCGCCGCTACTATGTTTGCGTTTGCGGACTCGTGGTTCGGCCGACCTGAACGAACGCTAGTTTGGCCGACACGATCGAAGGCCAGCTGATAATCTATATTCTTTAACAGGAGGAATGTTGAAGGTTATCGATTCATATTAGAAGATTGGTGTGCCTCGGTGCTACGAATTAGACAACGTAAGTTTTCATGCACTAGACAGTCAATGTTTATTTCTCTTTTACGCCAAGCAGAAGTCTCTCACCGGCACCAGATCGGAGGTCAAAATACTGTACCCATATATGTTCGTTAGTTAGTTCTTTGCAGTGTAGCGCGGGCGGGCCGTGTGTAGGTGATGTTTTATTTTGGAATAGTAGTGTGTATGTATATATAAATGTGTGTATGTTCAATACATAATATAATGAGTTTTTCAGCGCCGACTAAGCTGGAATGAGCCCAAAAATAATTAGAGGACCCTAAAGCTTTGCCTTTATAGGAATTGAACACGATAGCAGCATCCTGTTCCTAGTGCGTATTTCAAACACTTAGTACATGAAACCTTTTAGAATATGCTATGGACCCACTGCGCGGACTTAAATAAATATGCGCAATGGCGTGCGTGTCTTTTGCAGTGGCTTACTGGCTTTCAACCTCGAAGCCATTATGATAATCACATATTCTGACGCCCGTTGACATTGGACACTTTGTACCACGCAATATTTCACGTTACTCATGTACAGCATGTATACAGGATGCGTGTGTTTGGGAAGTATGAAAGCTACTTTCTTTGCATTTCCAATTGGAGGAAGTTATTTTCACCGTTTTCACAAACAGAGCGTGGTATAGAATATCCGCTTCCCACGGAAAAGACTCGGGTTCGATCTGCTCTTGGATCCAAATAACCCTGATTCAGTCCCCATGCACTCTGCTACATACTTTTTATCATTTATTTTTTATATGCATCGTTCTTCATTTTTTCAGTCACGCATAACATGATGATTTTTCGCTCAGAACCAACGTTGCCTACACCGACACTGACGTCGGGGGCGTAATTTTCGCGAAAGCGAGCTCTTCACGCTGTCACGTTAATACAACCCACATGAGCAGGGGAGCCATTTTTTTTTATCCATTCGTCCAGACTGTTTACCTGTTTCTCCCACCGGAGCATTCTACAAGGGCCAACATCTATACCAAGTGGAGTAAGGGCTAGGTGGTAACAGTTGAGCCCTTGCAGTTGCTCCTGCAGTTAGTGCAAAATTCGTTCTGTATCTGTGGCAGCCCATTTAGTCTCCTAAAGGACTAATGGCATAGCCCACTTTAATCTTTTTTGGCGTAGAGTGTAATCGTCATAATTTCTTAATTTACCGTGTAAGCTTGCGACCGCATCTGTGAAGACCAAGAAAACGATATCAACCCACCGTGATGATCTAGTTGTGCTCCACTGCTATCCTGCAGTTCCTGCGATCGAATCCCGCCATGGCCGTGGTGGCCACGTATTCGATGAAGGCGAACGTTCTTGAGGCTTGTGTATTTAGATTTAGATGCACGCTAAAAAGCTTCAGATGATCGAAATTTTCGGAACCCCCACACTCCGTCGTCTCTCATATTCACATGGTGGTTTGTCAAACCCTGACAATTTTCATGAACTTCCCTTAAACTCTTTCCGGGGTTCACATAAACGATACAGGGGGAGGGGGGACAAAATCATCCATAATAGCATGGCATTATAATGCAAGTAATTATACAGCAAAGGTAAGCAAACAAGCAGACACAAAATAAATGTATGTAAAATACACTAAACCAATTTTAATTCAAAAAGCGATATATAACGGTGAAATATGAAGAAAAAATACTAATAAGGAGTCACAAAAGTATGCTACATAAAATAATGTGGTATCGTGGCAAATAAAAAGTTTCAAAAACAAGAAAGTATGTGCTTAAATTTATTGCAGTCCTGTTCACTAACTAAATCTTTCGGTTGCGCATTTCATAGCTCAGTACCAGTCGGTAGGATGAACTTG